CAGAAAGTCAAATACCATATGATGTTACTTATATGTGAAATCTAAAAACAAACAAACAAAAAAGCAAATCTGAATCCACATTTAGAGACCAGATAGGTGGCTACCAGAGGCAGGAGTGGGGGGAAGACAAAATGGGTGAAGGGCATCAATGGGTACAAACTTCCATTTATATAATAAATAGGTCATGGATGTAATAACAGCACAGTGACTATATATGTGTGCATGTGTTCACCATGCAATTGTCTCCAACTCTTGCGACCCCATGGACTATAGCCCACCAGGCTCCTCTGTCCGTGGAATTCTCTGGGCAAGAATACTGGAGTGGGTTGCCATTCCCTTCTCCAGGGGATCTTCCTGACCCAGGGACTTGCATTGCAGGCAGATTCTTTACCATCTGAGCCACCAGCGAAGCCCCATATTTAATAATGCTGTATTGCATATCTGAAAGTTGCAGAGAGGGAGATTTTAAAAGTTTTTATCACACACAAAAAAGTATAACTATGTATAATGATAGATGTTAACTACACTTATTACAGTGATTATTTTGCAATATACACAAATATTGAATCAGCTATACACCTGACTAATGTTATCTGTCAACTACATCTGTTTTAAAAGCTAATAAATATTAAAAATTGTAAATTATTATGTATTATGCTGTAGTTTATATAACATTGTATCTCAACCATGCCTCAATAAAAAAGGAAAAAAAGTCAAAATTTTTTTATTTTAAATTACGAAAAAAGAGAATTCCCATAGAACTAACTGATTGGCTCATCTGTATATTTACATTATTTGCCATTCATAGCTCAAAATCTAGAGGTATAGTAGGATCCCCTACAGAAATCCTAATACATTAAGGATAGCACTAAGCAAATATTCCTTGATCTCCCCTTTATCATAGCCCCCATTCTAGGTACATTTGAGGTCACATGAGTAATTCCAGCCAAAAGGACTCTGAATGGAAAATGCATGTGACTTCCAGGTCAAGGCAGCTGAGAGAGTCTGTGCGCCTCTGTCATCTCTGTTTTCCCACCCACAACAGAGGCTGCATTTCCCGATTCCGTAGCTGCAGGATGGAATGGGAAGTAAGCAAGGAACAAGCCCCTGAGATTTCAAGGTTTTATTTGTTGTGGCAGCTAGGATGAATTATCCTAATACATCTTGGAACCCTCATTTCGCAAAAGACTTTGTGACTTCAGTGCTACTTGAAACTTGAATGCAGACTTCAACCTACCTGCCAAATCACCATAGACCACAAGCAACTGAACATGGTAGATAAACAAGGTAGATCAAGCATCATGTCTCCGTGGGAACCACTTACACTCCTTCTATGTTTCTTAGCCTGAGCTATGTGATGTGGAAAGACAAGAAGGAAAAAAAGGTGCAGTTTAGATTCTCATAATGCTTATAGTGTTGTTCCCAGTAAAGTTTTAGACTGTCGTCTTTCCTAACCAGGATGTTACTAATTGCTGGGGCTCTTTTGCTTTAAAATTGTATAATTACGCCACACTCAGATTTTATATACACCTAGAATGATGATCATATGAACCAAAAGGATAAGAAATGAGGATTTAATTGATACCGTTGGTTTCTACTCCAATTAGAGCAATAAAACTCATAATTTGACTTACAGTAACTTTCCCCACCACATCCCTGCCAAAGTGCTTAGAGCCTGAAAGTGTAATTAAAAACCATCAAAGAAAATAATGCTAATTAAAACCATAAGCAGGAACTAGGGTGATAGTTAGATTGATGGACATCTTAGTAATCGTACATTTTCTTATCTTCTTTCAAAATACCTAGGAACCTTCTGTGGTCACTCACCTTCTTTTTATCAGTGGGAAAACTGAGGAACATGAAAGCTTTCTGGATGGAAAACAGGGAAAACAGGCTAGACTGAAACCCATGTGGAACACTGAGTTATTCGTGGACCTGGGCTCACTCTCTCTCGCATGCTCTTCCCCTTTGCCATTTTCCAGGCCATTCTCAGGTGTCACTTTCGAACTCTCAGAAGACTAAAAGTTTAGCTTTGTTTTTGCCTCTTTTGCCTCCATGGCATCTACCTGAAGCTTTGAGTTACTAGGAAATTAGGCACACTGCCTGGTCCTCCGTGACATTCCTCCACTTGCTTCTTGCAATATCTGCTTTTGAAAGGAAAAGGGAGAAAAACAGTGATTCACTTAATGGATCTTCCCCCTCTCTAAGACCCAGTGGAATCCTAATTACTAAAGTCTGTTGTACAGACAAAGGATTAATCTCAAAAATATACAAGCAACCCCTGCAGCTCAATTCCAGAAAAATAAATGACCCAATCAAAAAATGGGCCAAAAGAACTAAACAGACATTTCTCCAAAGAAGACATACAGATGGCTAACAACATGAAAAGATGCTCAATATCACGCATCATCAGAGAAATGCAAATCAAAACCACAATGAGGTACCATTACACGCCAGTCAGGATGGCTGCTATCCAAAAGTCTACAAGCAATAAATGCTGGAGAGGGTGTGGAGAAAAGGGAACCCTCTTACACTGTTGGTGGGAATGCAAATTAGTACAGCCACTATGGAAAACAGTGTGGAGATTTCTTAAAAAGCTGGAAATAGAACTGCCATATGACCCAGCAATCCCACTTCTGGGCATACACACCAAGGAAACCAGATCTGAAAGAGACACGTGCACCCCAATGTTCATCGCAGCACTGTTTATAATAGCCAGGACATGGAAGCAACCCAGATGCCCATCAGCAGACGAATGGATGAGGAAGCTGTGGTACATATACACCATGGAATATTACTCAGCCATTAAAAAGAATTCATTTGAATCAGTTCTAATGAGATGGATGAAACTGGAGCCCATTATACAGAGCGAAGTAAGCCAGAAAGATAAAGACCATTACAGTATACTAACACATATATATGGAATTTAGAAAGATGGTAACGATAACCCTATATGCAAAACAGAAAAAGAGACTCAGATGTATAGAACAGACTTGTGGACTCTGGGAGAAGGCGAGGGTGGGATGTTTCAAGAGAACAGCATTGAAACATGTATATTATCTAGGGTGAAACAGATCACCAGCCCAGGTTGGGTGCATGAGACAAGTGCTCGGGCCTGGTGCACTGGGAAGACTCAGAGGGATCGGGTGGAGAGGGAGGTGGGAGGGGGGATCGGGATGGGGAATACATGTAAATCCATGGCTGATTCATGTCAATATATGACAAAAACCACTACAATATTGTAAAGTAATTAGCCTCCAACTAATAAAAAAAAATGAAAAAACAGAAGCCAATTGTAGCGTTTTGCCAAGAGTATGGACTGATTAGTTTATCCTCTTTGAAAGAATTGAGAGGCCAACTCTCTCTACTGGAAACTCCTTTTATGCAGAATAACTTCTTTTAAGTGGTCAACTAATTCTTCCAGCTTCAGTAATAAGCGCTTCAGTTGCTTCCTTCAACTGTCTCAGTACAGTAAAAAAAAAAAAAAAAAAACCCTTGGTTAAAGAATGTAAAGGAGGGAGTTCCCTGGCGGTCCAACGGTTAATACTCCATGCTTCTAATGTAGAGGATGTGGGTTTGATCCCTGGTCAGGGAACTAAGATGTCATATACTGTGTGGTACAGCCAAGAAAAAAAAAAGAATGTTAAGGAAAAAAAGAGGAACAAGAATAGTGATCACTTACTATAAGGATCAAACACAGTTTTATTTTGTATGATACAAGTTTATTCATCTAACTCACAAAGAAATGATGCATTACAAATACAGTCATGACATTTGTTCAATTATGGTACTTAATAAAAGTTGTCATCATGTGACATTAACATTAAAACATTACTTTTTTAAAAAGTCTTCCTCTGAGATGATTCAGTTGTTTGATCTTCTCTGTAAAGTCTCCTAAATGCAAATCAAAACCACAATGAGGTACCATTACACGCCAGTCAGGATGGCTGCTATCCAAAAGTCTACAAGCAATAAATGCTGGAGAGGGTGTGGAGAAAAGGGAACCCTCTTACACTGTTGGTGGGAATGCAAATTAGTACAGCCACTATGGAAAACAGTGTGGAGATTTCTTAAAAAGCTGGAAATAGAACTGCCATATGACCCAGCAATCCCACTTCTGGGCATACACACCGAGGAAACCAGATCTGAAAGAGACACGTGCACCCCAATGTTCATCGCAGCACTGTTTATAATAGCCAGGACATGGAAGCAACCTAGATGCCCATCAGCAGACGAATGGATGAGGAAGCTGTGGTACATATACACCATGGAATATTACTCAGCCATTAAAAAGAATTCATTTGAATCAGTTCTAATGAGATGGATGAAACTGGAGCCCATTATACAGAGCGAAGTAAGCCAGAAAGATAAAGACCATTACAGTATACTAACACATATATATGGAATTTAGAAAGATGGTAACGATAACCCTATATGCAAAACAGAAAAAGAGACTCAGATGTATAGAACAGACTTGTGGACTCTGTGGGAGAAGGCGAGGGTGGGATGTTTCAAGAGAACAGCATCGAAACATGTATATTATCTAGGGTGAAACAGATCACCAGCCCAGGTTGGATGCATGAGACAAGTGCTCGGGCCTGGTGCACTGGGAAGACCCAGAGGGATGGGGTGGAGAGGGAGGTGGGAGGGGGGACCGGGATGGGGAATACATGTATATCCATGGCTGATTCATGTCAATGTATGACAAAAACCACTACAATATTGTGAAGTAATTAGCCTCCAACTAATAAAAATGAATGGAAAAAAAAAAGTCTCCTGATACTAAGAATCTTAAATTGACTGTAAAGGCGTTTCTCTGTTTGCAGTTTTCTAAAACTTGCCAGAAGGAATCAACATGCACCATAACATAAAGGAAGCTTATTTCCTGGGTGTTTTCTCCGTACAATCACTTCTATTCCTCCATTGTTCTGAAGTGAATTACATATGAGGTGGATTGGAAAGAACTTGGAACTGAGAATTGGAACACCCACAGGCTGATCCTGCCTTTGGGCCTTTGTCAGCTGTGTTACAAGGAAGTCACTGAACCTCTTCAGGAAACACTTCCTCATCTACTATAAAGTGAGCACATTTCCATATTGTCTGCTTTGACTAAAAAAGATATATTAGCTTTTTCTCCTTTTTTTTAGAGGATACACACTATTTAGGATACATCCATTTGAGAATATTTCCCATTTCTCTTACATATCCACATTTCTATCACTCAGCGATCAATGATCAGTCACCTGCTATATGTCAGACCCTGCCAGGTAGTAGGGATACAATCATCTACAAATCCATAACTGGGTGGGAGGAACAGTCATCAATACAAGTAACTCTAAAGCAATGTTATCGTTGCTATACTAGGGAGATAGTCCAAGTGTTGCAGGAGAACAAGGCAGAGCAGTCAGGAAAGACTTCAGAAAGGATGTGATATTTGATTAGTGGCTTGATAGATGAGTACTTCATATTTTTGCCTAATAACTTCTCTTTCCATCTACCACTAATTTAGTGGGTTTTTGGTCTTTTTTCATGATACATTAAACACCAAGTGTTTCAGCTAATCTAATCATGGCACTAAATAAAATTTCCTCCTTTTTCTTTCCTTTGGCTGCTCTGGGTCTTCATTGGGCTTGAGGGCTTTCTCTAGGTGCAGTGAGCGGGGGCTACTCTCTAGTTGTGGCATGTGGGGTTCTCATTACAGTGGCTTCTTTTATGAAGCAAAGGCTTTAGCAAGCACGGGCTTCAGCAGTTGTGGCACCCAGGCTTAGTTGCTCCCAGCATGTGGAATCTTCCCAGACCAGGGACTGAACCCATGTCTCCTACATTGGCAGGTAGATTCTTATCCACTAGACCACAAGGGAAGTCTAAAATTTCCTTCTGACCATACAATAGCAACCCAGTTGCCAAGATAAAGACCACATGTCATCTCTCTGTTGGTACGAGAATGGATCTGAAAAAAATTAAACATAATGGAATATAGATGTGGCCTGAAAACTTGAGTCAATTGAAGCCATCCAAAAATCTCATGGTTCCCCCTCTTTCATAAGGAAAGGACTTTCAGAAGACTATGAATGCCCTGTGACTCTACAACTACTTCTACTTTAGAGACCCAAACTTCTAGATAAGAAATTCTAGCCATAGAATTAAGCTATGACTTCTTTTTAGGGATATTCTCAACCAATAAGGATATATGCAGACCCACATGCGCCATGGAGGCTCAGGCATCTCTAGTAGGATATCCACAGCAGCACACTCTAACCAGCCTCTGTCACACACTCACAGCAATGCATTTGAACCAAGCCAAGTAACCAATTTTCTTCATATCATTAACTGCATCAGGTTAATATTGGTCAGAAAGATTCACAAGTTGGTGTGGCCATATGCCAAAGTGAATAAAGTAAAACCTTAGAGATAAGTGCAAAATGGGACCCTCTAAATGGATCTTAGATAAAATTTCCCTTTTATATTAAAAGTAAGTTCTCACATCAGATAAGAGTTCATTGAAAGGAGGAATATGGACACACTGTTGTCAGGGCTGTGTGTGTGTGTGTGTGTGTGTGTGTGTGTGTGTGTGCTCAGTCTTGTCCAACTCTTTGTGACCCTATGGACTATAGCCTGCCAGGTTCCTCTGGACATGGGATTCTCAAAGCAAAAATACTGGAGTGGTGTGCCATTTCCTTCTCCAGGGAATCTTCCCTATCCAGGGATCAAACCAAAGTCTCCTGCATCTCCTGCATTGGCAAATGGATTATTTACCAGTAGTGCCAAATTCCAATCCTTTGGAAAGTAATTTATTCACCTATATCAAGAACTTGAAAATGTTCGTACTCTTAGACAAGCTTCTAGGACATTAACCCTATTTACAGAAAAATCTTTATGCATGAAGATATTCATCCTAGGATTGCTTATGGTAATAAAAAACCCAGTACAATCCAGAAGTTCAACAATAATCGAATGATTTTATTAAAACTTTTGTACATCTATATATTAGTATACAATAGATCCATTAAGTATAACTTAAAGTCTTGAAAAACACTTAGCTTACAATATTAAAGGAATAACCCAAAATACAAAATGGAATAAATTGTTGGATTTGAAATCACAACCACGCTTTAAAAATGCATAGAAAAGACATTTCTCCAAGGAAGACATACAGATGGCCAAAAACCACATGAAAAGATGCTCAACATCACTCATTATCAGAGAAATGCAAATCAAAACCACAATGAGGTACCATTACACGCCAGTCAGGATGGCTGCTATCCAAAAGTCTACAAGCAATAAATGCTGGAGAGGGTGTGGAGAAAAGGGAACCCTCTTACACTGTTGGTGGGAATGCAAACTAGTACAGCCACTATGGAAAACAGTGTGGAGATTTCTTAAAAAGCTGGAAATAGAACTGCCATATGACCCAGCAATCCCACTTCTGGGCATACACACCAAGGAAACCAGATCTGAAAGAGACACGTGCACCCCAATGTTCATCGCAGCACTGTTTATAATAGCCAGGACATGGAAGCAACCTAGATGCCCATCAGCAGACGAATGGATGAGGAAGCTGTGGTACATATACACCATGGAATATTACTCAGCCATTAAAAAGAATTCATTTGAATCAGTTCTAATGAGATGGATGAAACTGGAGCCCATTATACAGAGCGAAGTAAGCCAGAAAGATAAAGACCATTACAGTATACTAACACATATATATGGAATTTAGAAAGATGGTAACGATAACCCTATATGCAAAACAGAAAAAGAGACTCAGATGTATAGAACAGACTTGTGGACTCTGGGAGAAGGCGAGGGTGGGATGTTTCAAGAGAACAGCATTGAAACATGTATATTATCTAGGGTGAAACAGATCACCAGCCCAGGTTGGGTGCATGAGACAAGTGCTCGGGCCTGGTGCACTGGGAAGACCCAGAGGGATCGGGTGGAGAGGGAGGTGGGAGGGGGGACCGGGATGGGGAATACATGTAAATCCATGGCTAATTCATGTCAATGTATGACAAAAACCACTGCAATGATGTAAAGTAATTAGCCTTCAACTAATAAAAATAAATGGAAAAAAAAAGAAAGAAAAAAAGAAAAAGCAGGGACATTACTATGCCAACAAAGGTCTATCTAGTCAAAGATACGGTTTTTCCAATAGTTGTGTATGAATGTGACAGTTGGACCATAAAAAAAAAAAATGCATAAAAAAGAAGATTGACAGGAAATACATCAAAAAGTTCCCAGTAGTTGTTTTTAAGTGAAATAAATTGACTGGCATTTACATTATTTCACTTTTTAATATTTTCAAAGTTTTTTATAGTGATATTAGGAAATGAAATTTAGTGCTTTGAATTCAGTGACTCAGAATGGCCCTCTTTAGGAATGGTGTAATCGATTAATAGATCCACAGACAGCCAGACAGATCAATGACCAACATAAGCCAACCCAAAATCCAAAAAGACGTCAGTGAACTAGAAAGCTAAGAAACACAGTGATATAAAGCAGAAAATTTAGATTCCCAGAACTTATGAGTAATAGGAAGATAAATGCAGTGGGAGAGGAATGCTATTAGAAATGCATCTGATTTTCTGAATAGTTTGTGTGATAGATGAATTCAGACTGTCTCTGCTAATGAATCCTAATTTAACCTAAGCACTGATTAATTCACAAATCTTTATTGAAAGCTTACTGTATGCTGTCAATGTGTTTGGGACACAAAGATAAATATGACATTGTCTCTGCCTTCGAGAATCTTAGAGTATGGTTCAGTGCTATGGCTGTTAGTATAGCTGGACTTAATGAATGCAGGTATCTTTCCCCTAACTGCCTAAAGATAAGAAATTGTAAAATAGTTCATTTGAACTGGTGGGAAGGAAGAAAGATTAAATTCCAAAAAACTGAATGATGAAAGAGATTAACCTTTGGAGTTAGATGTAAGTTAAAAGTTCGACAATTCATTTATTCTCCCATAGCTGCTAGCACCAAGATAGGCAAGAGGAAGTAGTCAGCCTACTAGAAGTCAGTCAGTTAGCTTTGACTGTTTGTTGAGAGCCTATTGCAGCCAGAGTAGTGTAAAGAAAGGCACTGCAAAACAGTGCACAAAAAATACAACATTGACCTCTTCCGCAAGAAGCTTCCACACTGATTTGGGCAACAAAACACACAAAAGAAATAGTTAAAGAATTTTTGTGTTCTAAGAAAAAATTTAGATTGCATGGGTGTGTATGTGGTCCAATCATTTCATGTGTATGTAGCCTAAAACAGGTATCAGGTATTATAATAATACTTAAGTTTAGTGCAGATTTAGTACCTGTACTTGTTTAGTACCTTGCTACCTTTACACTAGCAAAGTAGTGCTCAAAATTCTCCAAGCCAGGCTTCAACAGTATGTGAACTGTAGACTTCCAGATGTTCAAGCTGGATTTAGAAAAGGCAGAGGAACCAGAGATCAAATTGCCAACATCTGCTGGATCATCAAAAAAGCAAGAGAGTTCCAGAAAAAACATCTACTCTTGCTTTATTGATTACACCAAAGCCTTTGACTGCATGGATCACAAAAAACTGTGGAAAATTCTTCAAGAGATGGGACTACCAGACCACCTAACCTGCCTCCTGAGAAATCTGTATGCAGGTCAGGAATCAACAGTTAGAACTGGATATGGAACAACAAACTGGTTCCAAATCGGGAAAGAGTACGTCAAGGCTGTATATTGTCACCCTGCTTATTTAACTTATATGCAGAGTACATCATGTGAAATGCCGGGCTAGATGAAGCACAAGCTGGAATCAAGTTTTCCAGGAGAAATATTAATAACCTCAGATATGAAGATGACACCACCCTTATGGCAGAAAGTGAAGAA